CCCATTGTGTAGCTTTGTGCTTAATTACAAACAACAACAACAACAGTAACTATAGCAATGATTCCCTCTTATTTGCTTTTCCGGAAGGCTCAAGTTTACAATACAGGGTGTCCAAAAAGTGGAACCATAGGTTACTTGCAGCTTTTCTTAATTTCAGAGCTTCGTTGAATGACACCTTCCCAGAATATTGGATTAGCAGACGTAGTCCCCAGAAATGGGCCACAAAATCTCCGGACTTGTTTCCCGTAGATTTCTTTTTCTGGAAACCGCTCAAGGCACGTGTGTACAAAGAAAAGATCAGGGACACCGAACAACCGAAACAACGAATTCACAATGAATGTCGGACCATGAATATGTTTCGCAGTGTCCTAGGAGAATAGAAATACCGTCTCAAAATTTGTTTCAATTTACAAGGAGAGCATGTGAAACACATTCTGTAAAATTCATTGAAGTGTCTATGATTCCAGACTTTTCGGATACCATGTGTATATATATATATATATATATAAATACATTTTGTAGGTGTTTACTGCTATTAGAAGTTCCTCTCGCTTGGATGTTTTTCTATAGTATCATCGTAACTGCTAGTGTAAACAAATAAAATGGTTAAGATACATCATAGACAAATAAAACAGTAAAAACTGACTCATCGTGCGTAAACAACAGTTTAATCAAGAATCATTGCTTGTTTTATAAATAATTAATTAATATCAAACGAAAGTTTGATCGATTTACAAGTTGGCGAAAATTAAAAAATATACAATATTTAATCTTGATATTTCTTACAATTCTATAATGTAGCAAAGTAAACGTCAACGCTTATATTAAGATCACCGATCTTGCAATCTGTTTTATTCAATAAGTTTCTTTAGCATTATTTCCTCCAGTGGCTTAGCGTTAAATCTGAGGGCTCACACCGCTAAATACCGGATTTAGATGCTCGTGGTGGGCACAGCGTAGATAGCCCATTATGTAGCTTGGAGCTTAACAATAAACAAAACTTTGGCTTTACTAGACTACTACACTCAACACGGAATGGTAACAATCAAGACCCCCCACTCTGTTATTTCATACAGAGCTAGTGGGTCAGTAGAAGGTTACGCCCTCTTTTCGACCATGAGGTAAAAATTGTTGGTATGGTGCATATAGTTAATGGTCGTTCAAGGTAGAATTCAAGCGAATTAGTTCTAAGCACCTTCGATATCTTTTAAGATACAGTTCAGTTCCGACGGCCTTGTGTTTATTTTCGTTACTTGAATGTCAATACATGCAATGCAAAGCTTCAAATAATAATAAACACTAATTTATATTAAAATATTATAAGAAAAGAGGCATTAGTTCTCGGAACAATCACTAGGTGATTATATGAGATTATTAACACCAAACGAACAAAAAAATATCGTTGGTAGAACAACATCTATCTTCTGTTAGCAGCAGTTCATTCTGAGTCGAAAATGGTTATTAGCCATTACTATAATTTCCACGTGGGAAGAAACTGTTTGCATGATAGTTTCTATTAAAAGATATCAATTAGTGATAAAAATGTACATACTCATTGTTCTCACTTGGGATATCAAATTGTTCGAATGTAAGAGTCACACGCTCTAGGTTTTGTCTGTCGTTCAAACCGTAAATGTAGTATTTACAAACAATGTTTGGATGGTAGAAAGATGACCAGTTTGGCGAATAAACTGTCCCGTTGGAATGGCCTTTGCTGAAAACTTTCTGGTCACACTCTACAAAGAAATAGAAATATCAGTGACGGAAGCTAATCGAACTTCTAGAATGTGCAAAAAGGAAAAGTTCAAGGCGAATTATATGAAGAACACCTTATTTAGGTAATACTAAACAAGCACGAGATAGAATTCTAACCAGCAATTGGAGTGTTCGGGTAATTTATATTCAAACTACAGTTGCAACATACGAGCTATTAGAACAACAAAGCGCAATTCATTTTATTACAAGTTACAGCTTTTACAGCAAGGGAGATTATTTTTTTAGAACAGGTGATTTTTGAGTTTACTTACTGATACCTGTTCTAAATCTTCCTTGCTGTGAAAGCTGTACCTTGTAATAAAATAATACTTAATCAGTAAGTAAATTCAAAACGAAGTTAAAGCGCAATTCAATGTTGTTCCATGTTTTTTTTTTATCATCATGATTACTTTTACAACATTTGCACACTTTTAATTGTCAAGTGAAAATTGTCTTTATAACACCTAGAAGGGTCAAAGCATTAATTTTTACAAAAAGGTTTCATTGTATCGAGGAATTATGAACATTTAAAACACAAGTAATGTATTAAACTATAATTCGGAAGGTCTTCGATTCTATATATATATATACGGTAATAATCAGCAGTACGTTTATTCCCCTCCACAAACTAGGGTATCTTATAACCATGTACAAAACTCCATGGTGGTTCTCCTAATTATTTTTTTTTATAATCGTTTGTTAAAATAAGACAAGCAAATGATCTTTGGAAAGGTTTCTAATCGTACCGTAATGGTAATACAATAAGAATGATAACGAGGGTACGTACCAGTTCCGCGTATGTGTTGTCCACCAGAGTCCTCAATAAAGCCTGAAAAAAAAAGTATTTCAAAGCTAAAGCATACGTTTTAAACAGTTAACAACACTAATTACTTATATTCAATAAAACATGCAAGATTATAGTCAAGAAAGTGAAGACTGAAAAATGATTTTATATATTTAAATATATTCAATAATTCTTGGTTAATTCTTAAACGAAAATATAGTGTTAATGTGAAAAGTGATAATTTAAGGGCCATCGTCCCTATAAGAATGTATAACAACATGTCAAACACACTATGTCTGCTATATCCAATGCCAACGAGGTCTTTCGTTTAGTTCCAGAGTTCATCAGGCCAGCTGGATATACGACAGACGCATAAATGGTTGAGATTTTATATTAGCAGTTGTGTATGTTTGTTATCCTGGCCTCAAAAATCTAAATTACAGTGTCGTTCCGTTTTCAAACGTTGAAATTACTGTGTTATCCTGATATAAAAGGTCAAGGTTGCCGTATCATTACAATTTCAAAGGTTAAGTTCATTATGCAATCCTTGATGTGTAGGAATCGTAAAGCTGGTCTTGTTAGCTTCTGTGTAATAGCCGTCTAAAAAGTTACTTATTTACAAACACGGTTTGCCTCTCTACACGTGGAGTTAATGCACGGTAATCAATATATCGTCTGAGTGCGCGTGTCTGGTATCAAACGTTTTTCATTTGAACAGCGTATTTACTTACAGCTTGATACGACATTATCGTTTAACTTGAAGTAGTCACATTTTAGTTCTGACACCGTATTTCCACCTCCCATTTCCCCACCAAAAAAATTCTAATACGACCGTTCAATACACGTGACTTCGCTTTAAACTCTTGTATGAACTATCTTGTACATAATGAACTATCGTAACAAACAAATCCTTTCTAGTTGAAACTACTAATCAAACTATTGTATGAACTATCTTGTACATAATGAACTATCGTAACAAACAAATCCTTTCTAGTTGAAACTACTAATCAAACTCTTGTATGAACTATCTTGTATATAATAAACTATCGTAACAAACAAATCCTTTCTAGTTGAAACTACTAATCAAACTCTTGTATGAACTATCGTAACTTGATCATCTTTCTTGATCATTCTTAAAGCATTAACACACTAACATTTTAGTAGTTTCGACTAGAAAGGATTTGTTTGTTACGATAGTTCATTATATACAAGATAGTTCATACAAGAGTTTGATTAGTAGTTTCAACTAGAAATGATTTGTTTGTTACGATAGTTTATTATATACAAGATAGTTCATACAAGAGTTTGATTAGTAGTTTCAACTAGAAAGGATTTGTTTGTTACGATAGTTCATTATATACAAGATAGTTCATACAAGAGTTTGATTAGTAGTTTCAACTAGAAAGGATTTGTTTGTTACGATAGTTCATTATATACAAGATAGTTCATACAAGAGTTTGATTAGTAGTTTCAACTAGAAAGGATTGTTTGTTTGTTTTGAATTTCGCGCAAAGCTACACGAGGGCTATCTGCGCTAGCCGTTCATAATCTAGCAGTGTAAGACATGAGGGAAGGCAGCTAGTCATCACCACCCACCGCCAACTCTTGGGCTACTCTTTACCAACGGATTGACCGTCACATTATAACGCTCCCACGGCTGAAAGGGCGAGTATGTTTGGTGGGACGGGATTCGAACCCGCAGATTGCGAGTCGAGCTCCATAACCACCTGGCCATGCCGGGCACCAGAAAGGAGAGACTTATTTACCACATAGAACCGTCTTCACCACATGGTGGTCATAAGGCATCATTTTTTTTGTAACCAGTTAAAAAAGTACTAATACTATAAATATAAGTAAGAAGATAATGCAAAAAGCAAAATTTATACAAAATTATGAAATATGTCCAAGGTTAAATTCCACCCAAAATTTTTTTCTTCAGTGTTAAATATTATACATAAGACTAGCGTGTTCATTCTTAAAGAGTATACAAAACGTAATCTGTTGACTGTTAAAATTTTTAAATAAAAACGGAATCTGTTAACAGTAAAACGATCAATAAGAATGAAGTGTATTCATTGTTAAACGCTATTAAAAACTAATTCTGCTTAAGCCTTATCTGATAATAAATTATCTCGATAGTATCTTGTTTGCTAAACGTTTTATATAAGAATGAAATACCATTGCGTTAAAAACTGCACACATATTAATGGTAATAATTCATCGTAAACGCAAATAATAAGAACAATATGTCAACAATTAAACGCTATGTACATAAGAATGAAATACCATTATGTTAAACACTGCACACTTTAACGGTAATAGTTCATTGTAAACACAGATCACAAGAACGATATATGTCAACAGTTAGACGCTATGTACAAAAAGAAAAAAAATTCAAATATGGGCTACTTTTAACCGATCATCAAGCTGTTGAGGAAAGAAATGGGTACCAAGTTTTCGATGTAACAGTTTAAGAAAACATAAGATAAATTGATGGTGTTTTAAATAACAGCTTTTAAACAATATTTGTTTTGTTTCTTATACAATCTTAACACTTAAAGGATTTGATCATTCACTTACTTACCTAATTTGGTAAAACTTTCACTAAACTCAAACCACCCAGAAAATCCACGGTTCTGTGTATTGGCCGTACGTTTTAAAGTTATAAACAGAACAAGTAAGTTTTCTGCGGAAGAATACACTACCAGGTTGCGCTGTTGTCCACAATACGTATCGATCAAAGGGTCTTGAGTTGTTGCACCATCGTAAATTTGAACAATGTCGAAAGGGCAGCTGCAATTATTGACTTTTTTTTTATTATCATAAAAATGTAAAGACAAATATACACTAACGTAAAACTTCTACTAAGTTCTATCTAAAAAAAATAAAAAATAAAAAATAAATTACGAATAATATTAATGCGGATATTCAATATTTTCTAATTTTCCAGTTTACTTTATTGACTTTAATTAGGAATGGAAATTCACGTTGTATCAAAAAAAAAAAAAATCTACAAAGATTGAGAACTTCTGAAAACTAAAAGCAAAATTTACAAGACTTATATATCGGGTCTCATCTTTTTTAAGGAAATAAATTAAAATCTAAAACAACCGAGTAAGGATATTTATAATGAAACTAATTAATTAATTATTTTGAAAGTGCGCAGTAATTTCGATAAATTTGTTGCAATTAATGATAAATATCGAAAAATGTGAGCAGTTGCAAATAATTGAAGATAATTTGGAAAATCAAAGAAAATTAGCTGAGAGAAAACAGATACAATTTTCGTCATAAATAAAGGTTAGACAGGAATATTGATGATGAATTTTATTTAATGTACGCTCCCTTAATCGTATATAGAGGCAGACGTCTATGTATACACATAAATGTGTAAAGTAATTAAACTCTCCACAAATTCGGAACATAACACTAATTCTTTATTGGAATTACTGATTACTATGCATTTCTGAGCTTCATCAGATATTCAACAACTGAATAAAATAGCATAGTATATTACTGTTCACTTCATTTTTTTTTCATGAGCATATACGTAAAAATAAAGTATGCATCTATTTGTGATATCTATGAAATAATTAAAACATTATAGATTAGAAAAAACTGTCAGATGTTCATTTCTCCTCCTCACGTTATCAGTTTTTATAAGAAACAAAATAAATGTAATTAAAATCTGGTTTTCGAATACGTACGCGTTTGACTATTGTATTTAATCTTACTCAAAGATACTTAGGATATTGAGATTCTGTTTTTGAAACCTACAAATGGGATTTGAAAATGTATCAGTGCAACAACGGCGTTAAATTCCATTTTTAATTTCGAGGATTTCGTTTTACATTTTCTGCTAATAGCGGAGTTTTATATAAAAATACTTGTAGTGAAGTAATTCTGATATATATATATATATTTAATTAAGTAGCGTGACGTGTTTCAGATAAAATTAACTTACTGGCGTCCTCCATAAAATAAATCAAAATCCATAAACTCCAGACGAACACGCTGACCTCCCGCCCCTAAAAATCTGTACTGACATTTCAGGTTTTTTGGGTAAACTCCGGGATATGTGGGGGACAGAATTTTTCCCTTCCTTTTGTGGTCACTGAAGATGGTAAAACTACACACTGAGGTGGGCAATGGTGTACCAAGTTCGTACCGAGCTGAAACACAGAAAATTACTAGCAAACATGGTCAACATTAAGAATATCATTTTACCTTTACTTTCCCGTATTTCTAGAGAGACTTGCTGATTTTATTTAACTTAAGAATCAAACTAAATCAAAATACATAGGCACTGCCCTCGCCGACATCATACAAATACCTCTTGCCGACGCCCCGCTTATACATTTCCAAACATAACTATTTTGTCTTTTTCTGGTAGCTTACAACACCAGTTTTACAAGAGTATCGCCTATGTGAGTTCTGTGTGTCCCAACGCTATCTAAATTTTGGCATAAGCTTGATAGCAAACTTTGTATTGAATTGAAGCAGAAATACACGAATCTAACTTTCAAATTTAAGCATACCTTATAAATATATATCTAATGCCCCAGTTTTTAAAATATCTAACAAAGCAACTGACATTTTCTCTTGGTCCCGCACACAGGAGCTTTGTCTACCAAAGTCGACACCAGAGACCTCCACAGAGAATTATGGTGTCAAAAGAGAAACCTATATGGGAATGAGTAATACTTGGTGCATATGATCGATTCAAGTCTTATGTACAAATTTATTTATTTATTTACTTATGTTTATTATGACTTGTTCAACCACTCAATAGGATTTCATAAACGCACTCAATAAATCAAGTTTAGAGACGTCTTGAATGGATAACGAGGAAAACTTTGATACAAGTTTAACAAAGTAAAAACGTACAACGTTTCTAGAAGGTTCTGTTTCATCAGCTACTTGTACCTCATAATGGCACAACCTTGTCGAAACGTTGTACATTTGTTTGAAATAATAAAGTTTTTCATTACATATTCAAGTCGACTCCAACTTGTTTGTTTCAAATTTGTAGTGAACAAATGATATAAACGTGGAATATGCTAATTTTTTTGTAGTAAAATATATCTAATTAAAGATTTGTCAACTGCATTATTAGTAGTAAAACTTATACTTCACCTTTAGGTCATGAACCATTAACCTAAACCTTCTGAACTATAAATCCTTTCACACGTATATCACCACGAACCATTAACCCAATCCTTCCGAACTCTGAACCCCTTCACACGCAAATCACCATGGGCCATTAACCTAAACCTTCTGAACTCAACCCTTTCACACGCATATCCTCATGGATCATTAACCTAAACCTTGTGAACTCTAAACCCTTTCAAACACATGCCAGCATGGTCCATTAAACTAAACCTTCTGAATTTTAAAGTTATAAGATGACGTGCAGAAAAATCTTAAAGCAAAGCACAAAAGAAGGTTTTAAAATGAACCTTTACACGTTGACCAAAACATAACTGAATTCTCTTTAAATTTTGAAAACTTGATTAACCCATATCGGAAATGTTCCAACTAAGACAATTTTATGCTTTTACTTATTTTCCAATTTGGAATTACGGTAAGCTAGGAAATTACTGTGGATACTTGTTTGGAAAATGGTTGGAAATTGTTTTGAATAGTTTCTACGTCCAGTATTCTCAATAAACATTAAATATTTTGGAAATTAACCGATAAAGACAGTTCATCTTCGTCAAACAAACAAATTAAAGTAATAATCTCATACAGTCCAAGATTATAATAACAAACATGTATATCTTTGAAACTTGAAAACAGCCATGTCGGAGTATTTTTATTTAGCACTTAAATAGTAAATATTTGCCAGTTTATATTTAAAAAAATAAATATGTATTTACCTTTCGAGTTTTTGAAATTGCTGAATAAACAATCACAAAAGATCGAATCAAAATTTATGACAATGTTAACGATCTTTGGGGAAAAATACTTTGGATTTTACTTTAATGCTGTTCTGACGATCACAACTCGAAACGAACTCATTCAGTTTGCGAATTAACTCCGCAAAATAAAACGACACTACTTACTGGCATCTACAAATTCGTAGGTTCCACTGAAGACATCTGACGTAATTTCGTTCCTGTTGGTATAGAAACTGATAACTAGGGTTTGGTATAACGATATCCTCGTTTGTGGCAAGATTTTCCCACAGTAGCGACCTCCAAAGGGAGTTTTTATAAGCTCTGTAGCAGAATCTTCTATTTCTGTATACAAATCAACGAATTCATGGGCACACCTGAAATAAAATTGAAACTATAAAGCTGAACTTGATAAGTTGTTGTTGTTTTTATTCATCATATATGATAAAATATAAGACAGAAGCATCACAAGTTTAACCAGCTTTGCCCTTTTACTGCATATTACATATTAATAGGCCCGGCATGGCCAGGTGGTTACGGCACTCGACTCGCAATCTGAGGGTCACGGGTTCGAATACCCGTCACACCAAACATGCTCGCCCTTTCAGCCGTGGGGGCGTTATAATGTGACGGTCAATCCCACTATTCGTTGGTAAAAGAGTAGCCCAAGAGTTGGCGGTGGGTGGTGATGACTAGCTGCCTTCACTCTAGTCTTACACTGCTAAATCAGGGACGGCTAGCGCAGATAGCCCTCGTGTAGCTTTACGCAAAATTCAAAAACAAACAAACAAACATACATATTAATATGTATCATCCAGTTATTAAAAGAACTTATTAACTATGACTCATCACACAATTATTTCAGACACAATCTAAGAGTTTGTATCTAAGCGACGGGGTTTTTTTCTGACCGAGAAAATTCTCAGTGACTTTCAGGTAACAAACCTTTTAAGCGAATGATCGTCTTGCTACTAAAATATTACCTACGGAAGACCTTACCAATGTGAAAATATGTTCTCTTCGAAATAACGAAAGAAATGAGATGAAAGTCCAAAGAAATTCTTCCTTTAAGATTTTACTTTTCCAAATAAAATCACGAATCAAAATTATATATAACTTGTATAAGAACAACTAATTTTGATAACTAGATATTATAAACTTTTCAAGAATAGTATCCCCAAAAGAAAGCAGCAATGGTACAACTTTCAGAAACTTACTTTTTAAGATTTAAAATATTGCTTCTATAAATATTCTTGGTTTGGACAATATGTTGCTTGTTAAAAAAGTTCGTCTAGAAATTTAATACTCATTCCTGACTAAATAACAACTTCAATGAAGCATGAAACTTAAAGCTTAGGCTATATTTATATGGATATTTTTTGTCGTACGAGATCCTTCAAATATTAATTATAAAATAATGATAACTTTTGAGATCTAAATTCCACCATCACTGCAGTTCCAGTTTTGTAAACTTGTCTTGCAAAATGTTTATATATTACAAGTACCTGACTTGCATTGTTAAGATCAATAAAATGTGAAAGTTCAATACTTAACAGGTGACGAGTGTTTATTTTGATGTTTAATAACGAGACCATTGAATGTAGTGACTTCTGTATGCTCACATCCTTTAAATATGCGAATATAAAAGTGTGGTATCTCTCGGACAACCAAAAGAACATAGAAGCTAAACCCGCTAACAACAAGAGATTCTCAAGGAGTTGCAACAGTTGGGTCACAAAGAATGAGACAAGGCATAAAAAAAAATGTTTACTGACACTTTCACAGTTTACAATGAAAGATCAACAAAACAGTAATTCACTTAACAATCAGGCAAGTGATCCTGGGTGTGTGTTTTTTAATGAAAAATATGACTCATACCAGTTCGTGTTCTGTCATATAGAAATTAAACTAAAATTAATAATAATAATAATATATATATATATATATATATATATATATAAACTGTTAAAAGTAAACGTCCCAAGTTGAATTTAAGTAAAATACTATAAAACAGTGTCTAAGCATATCCTCAGTAAAATCCAAGATCTTAACTTGGATCTCACTATAAAGCTCAACAAGCTTTAAACTATACATAGAGCAACTGCTACATAGTCCACTGCGCCGCTTAAGGGGTGGAAAACATAGTACAGCCCTGAAATACAAAGAAATGACCACAAAAGCTTCTTATCTCTCGAAGATCAGTAAGTTAATTTTTACACTAAGCCATTGTTCACTTTCAAATAATTTAATTATATCTTCAAATCGAAATTTGTTAAAGATTATTGGAAAGTAATCCGTTTAAGCTCTTCTAATATGTGGCGCTAACTGATGACTAAAATATTGTTAAAATTATTTTTAAATTCAGACCTATTAAAATATAATTTAAATTTTTATACCGACAGTGATATAAGCTATTATACTTTTATATAGAATTGTGTTTCGAGGTTCATCTACTAATTAGTTGTGTCCATTACAGAACTATAACATTCTAATTCTCATTATAACATCATTTTTAAAATACTAAATTTTATTAATTCAAGGCATTCAGAATTTAAAAAACGTAAAAAGTTATTATTTTCCTTAAATAGCGCCCCTGGAGGCAAAAATATTTGGAAATTCTTGTTGTTGACGTTTTAGTACAAGGCTACACTCTGGGCTATCTGTGCTCAGTCAAACTCGGAGAATCGAACACTGGATTGTAGCGTGGAAAATTCGTAAACTTACAGCTGGTTCATCGAGGAAATAATGATAACTATGTACTTTGCTTTTAGTATATGAACCTAATGTTGTGATGAAGGGTTGTATTGTAGCAGCCATTCTGCGGTCAAACAGAACTCGAAAAGTCAGTGATTGAATTTTCAGATTTCATATCCGTGAAGTTAATGGATCGAATAATTGAAGTAATGTAGTACAAATGCTCAAGATTCCCAACTAAATATTAGTTTGAGCTAAGAGCAGGATATTTGGTATAAGTAAAGCGTTAAAGCAAAGGCAATACGGCGTATTATTTATTAAATTTCCCACCAAAAACAACAACAATATATCAGGCCAATAAATATCGCAATATATGACAGTAAAAAAATGAAAAACTTTTCAAACTGCAAACAAGTATTTGTACCTTGAAAAGTGGGATATGTTTTTAAATATACGGGATATTACTTTTATATACCATAAACTTAATTTGTTACAACTGCGTGTACTAGTTCTGTAGGTTATATACTTTGATAATAATATTAATAATAAAAGAATTGCTTACTTAAATCTGGTATTAGCTCCGTTATGGTTGGGTTTACATTTACTAGTAGTATAGTGATTAAATAAGATTTATAAAGGCCACTAAAGATATTACTATTGAAGAAAATGTATCTACTTTTTCACAAACAGATATATTGGATTTACACAGATTATGATTTTATGTAAGAAATTGTGGAAAGAACAAGTTCGAAAGTTAAGGGTTGACATGGTAACAAAATAACAACATTGCTACTTTTAATAGCTAGGTCTTTATTTGGTCTAATGTACAATTTTTCGTATAGTTTTTTGTTTGTTTCTAATTAATCACAAAGCTACACAAAGGATACCTGTGCTCTGCCCACCACGCGCGTGGAAAGCCAGTTTTTAGTGTTACAAGCTTAGTGACTTTACAGTTGGCCACTTGGGGTGGGGGGTGGTATAGTTAATTACTATTAAAACGCTATAAAGGTTTAAGATTACAAGAAAGCGAATGTTGAACATTAGAATACTACATATACAGGATTTAGTACATTCATTATTTTGCTCTTTCAGAACTAAAATTACAACAGGTTATCTGATTTAGAAATCCGCCAGGAGCCACTGTTCGAAAGTTCTTATCAGAGCGTATGGGCTTCAGAAGAAGGATTGTTTCCATTGGACGGGCACGTCTGACGATATAAGATATAATGAATGGCTTTTTAGAGTGTAGTTATGAGCTATGTTCGTATATTTTCAAAACGAACAGCTTTAAAAACATGCTCTGCCTGCACGTACAGAACCACCAGATCAAGTCTTGTTGAACTTTGATCATCAGAGTCAACATTTGATATTTATTAATTTTAAATGACGTAAAAATATTTGGGCCAAATTTTCAATTACAAGCTTGTAAAGCCATTACGTGAAAAATTTTATTAAGAGATTTTGGAATAGGATTTATCTTAAAATGTCTGATTTCGATTATAGATGGGTACAGCAAAGCAGGATCACACGAATCTTAGGAAGTCCGATTTTAACTGTAAAAATGGGATCGTATAATCTGAACAATATCTTCCTATACGAGGTGATTGGTTAGACAATGATAAAAGTTTTGGCACTTCTTTGATGTAAAAGGTACAAACTAATAACAAAATACATCATTCGATAAGTTAGAGGAAGCCAGAGGCCAAAAATGTGGATTTACTTTTTATATATGAAGATTGATGGGGTCTAGACAGCCATTACTTAGGTGCATTTGTGAACCTTATCTGATAAAATTAAAAAGAAATAAAAACGATTAAGCCGTATGATTTCGTCCATCGTAGACTTTTCGACTACAGCGCCAAATAAAGAACGACAGCTAACACGTTAGTAATATCGCATTCTTCCTCTTTTTTTAAATGAATTTTTATTTTTATTTTTACACATGGGAAGTAAAATTATGAATAATAAGACAAATTTTGTTAATAACATACTTAAAACCAATACATTTATAGAATGTAAAAGAATAAATAAAATCGAAAACTTACATTTCTTAAAAACTTTTTATTTAAATATATAAGTGATATTTATTCGTATTACTCACTCTGGTGGCGCCCCCTTCAGCCTGAACACAGTGAAAGTGACTTTAACTCTCTCGTTATCAGCTGCTATGAAAGTGTAGATGCATTGTCTGGAATGGTTATGTGGATTTAGCATCTCCGAGGACGAGAAAGAGCCGTTTTTTCTTCCATCTGGATTACTGATAAACATTCGATCGCATTCTGAAATAAATATACGATTATTTAAAGAACAAATAAAAAGGTTATGTATTAATAGCTTTAAAATTTTCATTACTATGATATCAGTGTAATACATGTCTCAAATGATGGGCATTTTTTTTTTTAAGTATGGCTTCTGAAACTACGAGTGAACTTGTTAGACAAGTTTATATAACGACATCACTGACGTAATCGTGACAACCTAACGTCAAAACTGATGCTACAAACGAAACAATGAATACACAAGTCGGATTTACAATACATATAAAAAAAATCTACGGGTAAAATTTATTAGTTAATTCCAGTACTTTTAACCCTCATATAACACTTATTTTCCTACAGTTCATGGCCCGGCACTCGACTCGCAATCTGAGGGTCGCGGGTTCGAATCCCCGTCACACCAAACATGCTCGCCCTTCCAGCCGTGGGAGCGTTATAATGTGATGGTCAATCCCAAGAGTTGGCGGTGGGTGGTGATGACTAGCTGTCTTCCCTCTAGTCTT